GCCGCGGCGCGCGTCATCGCCCGGCGCGGGGCCGCGGGGCCGCGGGCACGGACATGGAGATGGCGCCGCGCCGCGCGCTCCACTTCGTCTTCAAAGTGGGCGAGCGCGGCCGCTGCGCGCGCTTCTTCCGCGACCTGCTGGGCATGAGGGTGCGCGCGCCGAGCGGGGCGGCCCCGGGGCGGCGGGCGCCGCAGCGGCGCCAAACGCGTTTGTTCCTCTGCCGTCCCCTCTGCCGTCCCCCGTCATCCCTCTGTCATCTCTCTATCATCTCCCTATCATCTATCATCTCTCTGTCATCTCTATCTCTCTCTGTCTCTGTCACCTCCCTATCATCTCCCCATCATCTCCCTATCATCTCCCTATCGTCTCTCTATCATCTCTGTCTCTATCATCTCCCTATCACCTCTCTCTCATCTATTGTCTCTCATCTCCATCTTATCTCTATCTTTGTCTATATCATCTCTTATCTCTATCATCTCTCATCTATCATCTCTCTATCATCTATCGTCTCTATCTTATCTCTGTCTTTACCTCTGTCATCTCTTATCTCTATCATCTCTCATCTCTCTATATCTTATCTCTATCTTCTATCTTTCTCTCTCTCTATGATCTCTATCTCTCCATGTCTATCTCTATTTTTTTTTAGGAAAAAAAAAATGGATTTGACTTTTTACGGTTATTACTCTTTCTTCCCCCCTGCGTTTAATTCTGCAGGTCCTAAGACATGAGGAGTTTGACGAGGGCTGCAAGGCCACCTGCAACGGGTAAGAGCTGCAGCTTCCCCAAATCCTTCAGTGCTTCAATAATTCTGCGTAAAACACCCCTGTTTTTAGCCATTTCTACACATTTATCACCGGGGTAGGTGGGGCTGCTTCCCAAAACCGCTTAGTTTTCCTGCTTTGTAACAGGGAATTGCATTTATAAGTATAGGAAGCACCTTGTGCCCTTCGTACGCGCTCAGGTAAGAAGTGGGCAAAGGTTTTTTTTATCAGTTATGATAATTGATAAACTAAGAGCAAAGCTAGTGGCTGGTGGGAAAAAGTCTTCTAAATGATATTGTAAGTTCTTGTGAGCACCAGCTCCTACTTAATGGAGAGTTTGCTGGCTTAGCTGCAGCTTAAATCTGTTCTAGAAATGCAGTTTTTGTCTGTAGACAGAAACACTTGCAGTTTTGGGGTTTATTTCTAATATTTCCTGCAAATGACTCTGGTTGTTTAGGCCTTATGATGGAAAATGGAGTAAAACAATGGTGGGCTATGGACCAGAAGACAATCACTTTGTGGCAGAATTGACTTACAATTATGGAATTGGAGAGTATCGACTGGGCAATGACTTTCTGGTGAGTGCCGTGCTTAAAATAATCCTTGGACAGTCCTTCTGTCCAAGTTGGAAGAACAGAAACTAGAGCAGCTTTGTGTGCACTGAGGAAAGCAGGAGGGGCTTCCTCGAGCCCCATCCAGCTCTTAGCTCCCATGTGTTTCTGGTACATCCTGCTTGGAATGGTTAGCTACCAGGATCTGTGCAGTAGGAAAACACTCTTGTATTTATCACTCTTATTTTTTTTATTTCTTTAGTGTTCGTCATCTGATGGGAAGTCAGCATCTAATGCTTTTTTTTTTTCTGTGATTGTAGTCTCATTTTCCCGTAATCTCATTTTTTTTCCCCTGCTTTGACAGGTGTCAGAGCTGATGGAGATCCACAGATACCTGCCAACTGTGATAGAACAGTTAGGAATTTGCTTGTTCCTCAGAGGCAGAGGCAGGTTATTTCGAAGGCAGGAGCTGCCCAGCATCCACCCTGTCTGGTGGTCAGACCTCCCTGATCCCAGCCACAGTTTGGAGCAAAGATTGTGGCTGCTGTGGCTTGGGTGAGGAAGAGGAAGATGGAATTTCCGTGGTGATGCACGTGAACTGCGGAGACTGCRGGAGTGCAGGGTGGCCAAGAGAGGCTCCCTGGCCATCTCTGCGCCACGTGTTTTCTRCAGGTCCTTTCTGTTCTCACTAGGGCCTGACGTTGGTGTCCAGCCGGGCTGTGAGCAACGCCAAGAGGCTGGGATGGCCCCTCAGTGAAGTTGCCTCTGGAATATTTGAAACGGAAGCCCCAGGAGGATACAAGTTCTACCTCGAAGACAAGGAACAACTAAAGCAAGGTAAAATAAATGGATTCTCAAGAGAGGTCTGCAGCTGGAACATTAGAATTGGCTGTGCATCTGGTTTGTGACAATTTACGAAACAGGAGCATGTTTCTGTTTCGTTTTTGTTGCTTATGTCTTCTTCTCAAGAATGTAAAACAGCACGTTCAAAATTTGTAACCAATATGAAATTATTGTGATTGTAACCAATATGAAATTGTTGCAATCTTATAGATCCTGTGCTAAAAGTAACTTTGGGTGTCTCTGACCTGCAGAAGTCTATTAACTACTGGTCTAATTTGCTTGGGATGAAAATATATGAGAAGGATGAGGAAAAGCAAAGGGTTTTGCTGGGCTATGCAGATAACCAGGTTAGTCTCAAAGAAAACTTTACAATTCTGATCTTTAAGTGTTGCCTTTCGTTACAGAAACTTTCTATTCATGAGAACAAAATCTTAAAGGAAAAAAGCTCTTAATAAAAGGAAGTGTTTCTTTGATATTTTCAGTGTTAGTTTTTATTGGTGCCTCTTGCTTCTATCGTATATTTTACATGTTGTAAGGGAAGAGATTCTCAAATTTATTAATGCTCCTGGGTTTGCATTTTAAATACTTTAAATAAAGTGTTTTGCATTTTATGAGTTATTGCCCAGAATGCTCATGCAAATAAAAATCAGTGGTATAAGTTGACTGTTTCATTGAGCTGCTTCTCTGAATGTGKGCCTATTTGCTCAATATTTTGCAGAGAAGGACTAAAACTGTCAAAAATTCTCAGTGTATGTTTGTTTGGATTGTTTCTGTATGTGTATGCTTGCGTGTATTTAACCTCCTTTCCTTAACCATGGCACTCTGGTAGTTGTAACTCATTGGTAAATGTGCGTGTGGGTGATGTTGAAATTACAGTGTTGTGAGAAGCTGGAGGAAGCGTAGCCCGGAGAAGAGGGTCCTCACAAACCAGACTGGTTTTCTTTTTCTCTTCCAGTGTAAGCTGGAGTTGAAGCAAGTTGGAGGAGCGGTGGATCACGGCACGGCGTTTGGGCGGATTGCCTTTTCCTGCCCAAAGGAGGAGGTAGGGCTTCCTTCTACCCCTCTCATTTGGCCAGCGGGCTACTAGAARATTTATTTCTAGCATTAACAAAGTATCTGAGGTGGGAACAAAATTAAACTGAACAGATGCCTTTTGCAGTAAGAATGCAATGGAGAAAGCGGCTGACAGGAAACTGTAACTAAGAACAACCTGAATGTGTCTGATCTGCACCTCACTGGGGTTAATCTTGTTTCTTTCCTCTTTCAGTTGCCTAACATTGAAGCACTGATGAAAAAGGAGAATCAGAAAATTTTAACACCTCTGGTTAGCTTGGACACACCTGGCAAAGCCACAGTACAAGTGATTATTTTGGCAGATCCTGTGAGTGATATTGGCAATCCTGACAGGTTGGACTTGAATTTCTCTCTCTGAGCTATCTGACTTACTCTGCTGTCAAATCTGCTTTTAGGATGGCCATGAAATCTGCTTTGTAGGAGATGAAGCATTTCGAGATCTGTCCAAGGTGGATCCAAATGGTGACAAATTGTTAGATGAGGTAAGTAACTCTATCTGTGCGTTAGTTTTCATCTGACTAGTTAGACAGCTAGTATAATTTGATTTTTTTCCCCAATTCCCATGGTTTCCTATAGTTTCAAATGGAGTTTTTCAAAGAAGCAAATATGTTTATCTCGCTCTGCTTTCCTGCTGAGGAGAGCAAATCAGTTTTTAAAGTTCATTTCTCTGTCCTGGCTGGAGTTTTCCAGCCTCTTTCCCAAGACGGCCAGATGGTTGTGTCTTGCTGGATGTGTCGAGAACAAATTGGTGCAAGTTTTGGTCTGGAAAATAATTTGTCAGCTTGCACCAGAGAGAGGCAGTGGCAGAAGCCGAGAATAGGGGTAGCTTGCTTCAGACCTAGCTTCATCACAGGGATGCTGTKGATGCTGCAGCCAGATGTTTGGCTGGGTCGGCTCCTGATCCAGAGACTAACATTTTTCTTTCCACAGGCCGTGGCTGCAGACAAGAGTGACAAATGGTTTGCTGAGAAAAACATGAAGAAAGCTTCTGCTTAGGTGGAGAAAAGTCCCGTCTGATCATTGATGCCTTGATTTCCGCCCGAGGGAATGTCTGTGATACGTACCGTGTCGTGTCAGCCCTCTCGGCCAGAGGCTGGTGCCACGTCGCGTGCTGGATGGGGGTCTGAGCTTGTTTTCTTTAATGCTAATGTCTCCTTTTGGGTAAATGCCACCCACTCCTTCAAACACAGGTGAAAAAAATGGGCTGTCCAGTAAGGAATAGAGCCAAGTGTTAACAGGTGAAGAAACTCTTAAGTTTCTCTGTTCGTGTCATGCTTGAGAAAGAGTGCAGAGCTTTCTATCCAGCTCTGCTCCAGCTCGGCTGCAGTTGTTCCTGGGCTGAGCAGCTCTCCTCACTTAGGCTCTGCYGTGGTCCATAGAGAATAACAACTGCTGCCGTTTCCCCATTTGCTGTCACTGGAAGCGCATTTACGATGCATTCAAACAAAGGAATCAAAATCAATTTAAAGGTGTGTGTGTGGGGGGGCTAATTACTTGTTTGCATTCAAATATTCTGCAAAGAATTAAGCTGGCGCGTGAAATGAAGTTCATTTCCTGCTTTTCTCGAATACTCGCTTCTCAAGCACAGTGTGAACTAAAAAGTAAATAAAAATATGACGTGGAAAAGGCGGGCGCTGCTCCCGTTGGACGGGAGGGATGGGGCTGAGCAGAGGGCGGGGCCACAGAGGAGGCGGGGCCGAGCCAGGGGGCGGGGT